TCCCTACTAAACACGATTCTTTTGGTGTAGTAAATGCTTAATAATATCTTATTATTACACAGCCCACTGACCAGGCTGTGATTTGAAGGATCAAGTTACAATTAATGTGGTTTAGTGGCTGGATGGTTTCTGAAGGGATGGTGGCAGAGGCCAAATAGTGGAAAAAAAGGTTACGATGAGTATGTCCCTGAGCTGTGTAAAGCACAGTCTGGATACAGACAGGTAGTGAAGCTTGATCCTATCATGTGCTGAGTTTTCATCCTGGTCACATACTCCCCCATTTTCCTTTATGAAAAGCATATGGAATGCATGGTCTGATAGGCAGAAAGGCTAAGAGAAATGCAAGTAGAGGGAGGTAATGCTCTTAGGTGTGGTAGACTAGTCTGCAGAGTGTTTTGATTCTCTGAATTAGTCAAAAGATTGAAAAAAAAATAGCCACTACTACCGCAGGAAAAAAATTAGAAGGAAGGGTCCTGAAAATGGTATCTGAGCAATGAAAGACAGTGAGTATTTAAAAGATCACTGAATTTAATTTATTCAACCTAAATGCATAAAAGTACAGGTGGGGACATTATTTATGCAGGTATATGCAAATCACTTTATAAAATAGGCAAAGCCCTTCTGCTTTTTATAAGTTGCCAAGGTGGTTCCTGATATTTTAAAAGCTATGCACCTTTAATGTAATTTCCTAAGAGTTGGAATCCCTCTGTTGGAATCACAGTCATTGTCAGAGCAAGTTTATTTTTTTTCTTTCCTCTGGGACTTCTACAAGGCTCTCATAACTATCACAAAAAGGGTGGTTTCCACAGAGATATGACTAGAAAAATCACTTGGAAATCACTGAGGAGCAAGTCACAATGTTCAAAGCAGAGAACAGGGGCTTTGAAAACATGAACCCATCTGACCTCTTGAATTTAGTACAGTGAATTCCTGAGCTCTGAAACATGGGGCCCGGCTGTGCATGCCATATTGGTGCTATAAGACTGGCAGTAGGTTGGCTGTGGCATGGTCTATTTCAAACTCCTTCACAGTGCCCAGTGTTGCATGTTCCCAGATGACATTTGGTTGGCAGAAGCTGGGCTTCCAAAGCTGGCAGTCTGGAATACAGCCCACTATGTTTTGACAAACACATAATTGACCATCTGATCACCAGCCTACAGTCTGCATTCAGGTCACTGGGGGGACCTGGGCTTTCAGTAGGTCTCTACTCCTCATCTTGTTCATCTTCTCAAACCAAGCAATATAGAGAAGACTTAAACACACCCACACATCCCCTCCCATTTGCAAAAGAGAACATGGTCCATGAAACATAAGCTGTTGAAAATTTCCTTTAAATTGTCCTGGCAGCCCAAAGTGAACAAGAGAAAAGCACATTTATGGTGAACTCTAATTCAGAAAGAAGTAAGAGACATACTGAACTGTTTCAACACCAGCAGTATATACGTTGCCATTCAGCTCAATGGCTTGGAACTTCTTAGAAAAAGGCAGCATAGGAAGATGATAGGAAATTGGGTATTGCTTGACTTTAGGGGGATATTATTAAGAGATACTTCGATTTCAGGTGAAAGAAATGAAAAGCAGGACACTGGAAATGGCTTCTTCCTTATCTGCCTGACGCTCTCCCCAAATCTACGGTGGGAGAAGGAGTCACACCAGCAGGCAGCAGCTCAGAGTGAGGTCAAGTTCAAATTCTGGTCTCCTGTAAACCCCTGTAAAGAGTGCTTTGGTCTGAAATTTGGCCCTACACAACACATCAACCTTTCTCCTAGAAGGCAAGGATTGTGCACTAGGCCAAGATATGCTAGCATTACGCAGATGGCAGTGTCTATGTCAACACTACCAGAGAGCCTCTCCTCTCCACTCCCATCCCCACTGCACAGTCCAGGCCCTTGGTTTTTACCTTTGACCTGGTCTCCCTTTTTTCAATCATCCATCTCTACTGGCCAGAGTGCTCTTTTTCTAAAACATAAATCTGCTTAAAATTCTTCAAAGTCTCCTCAAGCCTGCCACATCAACATCCAAATTCCCTCACACAGCTTCCAAGACCCTCCGTAATCTGCCCCCCCCCCCACTTTCCAGACTCATCTCCCAGGCTCCCCTTTCAACCACCATGCTCCAGTCACACTGAACTACTGTCCTCCGGAGCTGGCTGCTGCTTGACACCTCTTGGCTTTGAAAAGGTTCTTTCTTTTTTCATATTATGATCCCCTTTTCTTTCCCTTCCCCTACATTGACTTGGTAAACTGCAGTTCGTTCTGTAGACTTTTATGTGGGCAGGTGGGCACTCCTTTCTTGTTCCTCTTGCTACGTCTTGTTTATGCCTCCATTGCCGTGTCCATCACATGCCACAGCCTTTATTTACTATTTATCATCCCTACCAGACTGTGAGATTCTTAGCAACAGGGAGCATTTCTTATTTATCTTGGAGTTCCAGGAACCAAGCATAGTGACTAGCTTTCCACGAATGTTTGTTGACTGAAAACTGAATAAAGAGCTGTGCATGATATTAACCAAAACTAAGCCAAGCAGTAGCATTAGCTTCTATAAGCTAAGCATGGAGCCTATTAGCAATCTAACGAAGGCAGAAGATTGCAGGAGTAAGGCACTTTCTGACAGTTATCACTGGGTGAAAGGAAGAGTGAGGGATAGAGGGTGTGATGGAGGAATGTCTTGTTAGCAGAGAATGTCAGTGAGGCAATGAATTTTCAGCTTTTTCAATACTGAGTTTTCAGTACTGAAAGGTATTATTCTGAGAAAGAATCTGAGCCTGAATTGTAGAGAGGTCTAATTTGTAATAACTTGGTTTCTCAAATAGGCTAAGTCTGTGCTACCTGCTTTAAGGCAGTGTGGCAGGCTACAGAGGGCTCTTCTTTGTTTCTGCTAAAGAGTAATGGGATGGAAAACTCTTAGGGGGGAACATCTGGAAGCTATTCAGTTCCCATTGAAATCTGTGTCAAATCCAGATTGGGACTTTGGACTAAATGCAGTGCCAGGGAGAGAAGGCAAAATTCTGCACCGTCTGGAGAAGGCCATTGAAGAGGCACTAGGAGCTAGAAACACTGGGGAGATGACGTTCTGATCTGTTCCCAAGAAACTTTTCTTTTCCCTTTGATAGGTATCTGGGGCACCACCCCTGGAGCCATCAGCTATGTCTGTGGGGTACTTGAGGACAGCAGGACTGTCACAGGCTGTGTCACCCTTGAAATAAAAGCAGCCTCAGGATTTGGAACAACCCAAGCAAGCATGAAGCCTGGCCCGGGGGTGGGACAAGGTTAGTGGGTATAGGAATGAGCTGTCAGCCCATTATAGGTCATTCTCTCAGCCCTGTCTCTGGTTAAAAACTAGGATCTCTCTAGAAGCTGCCTGATTAATGGTTGATGTAGCATAGAATCAGTTTCACATTTTCCTATGAGCCAGAAACAGCCTTTCAATTACGTTTTTATCTCAAAGGTCTCCCCCTCGATTTCTAATCTGTGACACAGGTCTCCAGTCCCCTGTACTGCTTGTGTCTGAGGCTTGCCCTACAGTGCTGACGTCATAATAGCTGAGCCGTGCGGGCAGGAGTGCACTGTGCTGACTCATCCCCGGTGATGTGAGGATTAATGCCTTGTCTAACACAGAGCTATTATGTGAACTGTTTTTACACAAAAGAACTGTAACGAAAATGATTTGCCAGTCAGAGGACTAGAAATATGCAGTGCTAGGTAACTGAAGTAGGGATGTGGAAACATAAAGTGGTAACCATAAGCATGCACACTGACACCCTCCAAAGCATTGACAGACCTGATCTATCAACACAGAGAATAAGGAATAACAAGACTTGTCAGGAGCAGGGAGGATCCACCCCTGCTGTATAAATGCATTACACACAGTCCCCAATCTCCCTTCTCCGTCAAATGGCTGTCACTTTGGACTTTAGCCTTACGGTCTGTCCTTTGGGGGATTCTGCTCTCCTGAATATATTTGCAACTATCTTCTAGGAATGTCAGTGGAAGCCACACTCATGCAGGCGAGCCAGGGGAACCCCCTTTCTGTGCAAATGATTACCACACAAGAAATACCTCGGAGTGAGAAGTCAGTGAAGTAAGACAGATGCTGCGAAAAAGGGACAGAGTTCACCAGAGAGCTCAAAGCAGCTGGGAAGATACTGATGATTATTTATCACATAAGGTGACTGTCCCTACCTGTAGCATGTCTCGGGTGATGTCTCATGTAGTTGAGTGACTATGATTATTTGGGTTCATTGCTGTAGAACCTCTTACAAGCAGCCTGAGGTAAAACTTACCCAACCCATTCTGTGCAGCCTGGTTTGGGCTTTAAAGAGCAAATATTGTCTCTTTTCATCTGAAATCAAGTTTCCTCTTTTTTTTCCTCCCTTTTCAAATGACTTCCCATCTTTTCTAAAAAAGGACAGTACCTTCTATAGCCCTCTAGGCACACGTAATCCCGGATTTCTCTCTCTCTTTTTTTTTTCTGGACTTGCTATGACAGGCACAATTTTAGCCTAAATGGATCAAGCCTTATAGTTCACGCTTGTACTTCTTGAGTAAAAGGGTATTGGAGATTTCGTCCATAAATGAAAGCTCTGACCCAGAAGTTGAAATTAAAAACTATTGGACCTAGAGATGGGGGTATAACTGAAGAATAAATAATTACCCACTGACTGACAGTGGAGCAAAAGCCTGACTGTTGCAGATATCTGGCTGAAGCATGTAAGCTCTAGTGGAGAGGAGCAGTGACTTCTGCAAACAGCAGCTGCGACTGAGTAAAAGGCAGTCTTTATAGACGTCCAATGCGTGAGGCCCCGGTCTTTTCAGTCCCCTCACGGATGGCAACTACTACCACCACCAACAGCACCAATTCCAAACCCAAAGGAAGCTAATATATAGTGCAGAAGTGCTGGAAACCACAACAAAGTCAACTAGAAAACATGCCAATAAAGATCCGAATTTCCCAAATATGACGCCTTCTTGAAAAGTAAAGAAACCACTTTTACTTACATAAAGAGAAGGGGCAGGCCACAGACGGATGGTCACGGAACTGGAAAAACAAAAACAAGGAATTAAAAATAAACCCAGTGATACTGTAGGGAGAAGGAAAACCAATCTAAGTCATAGACAGAACTGGTTGCTCCTGAGGATGGGCAGTAGGAGCCTATTTTATTACCTGTAGCCCGAGAAAAAAAAGAGATCCAGCCCCATAAAATTTTCCAAAGGTGTAATCTCCTGCTATATGACCAACAGTATTTCCAGGCACGAGGAGTGCCAACCTCTTTCTTTGCAAACTTCATTCTGATCCGAATTATATGGGTATTTTCTAGAGCTGTGCTCTTTAATACAGTAGCCACTATCTATACTTATCTATTTAAATTAGTTAAACTTGAATAAAAAAACAAAATATTTAGTTCCTTAGTCACACTAGCCACATTTCAAGTGCTCAATAGCCACTTGTGGTTGGGGGCTGCCTTAGAGGTAGAACATTTCTATCACTGCATAAATATCTATTGGGCAGAACTGACTAGAATAGGTAAAATCTTTACTGTGTAGTACAGGACAAATTTTAACTAATTTTGACAAAGATGAATAAAACTCTGATAAACTTTGGCTCTTTTAAGGGTAAATTCAGTATGTTTAATGCCCAGAAGATCCTCTGGACAGATGTAACACCTACAGGCATTATCGCCCCTCAGCTGACAACCTGATGCGATGCAGCCTCAGGTTGGCTTGGTGCAGACTGAGGACCATATACCGCCTCCTCTGCCCCTTCTCTCCAGCCCAGGAGTGTCCCCTCCGACAAAATGATTTTAAATGAAAACATCTGTCTCCCAAAACACATTTCTAATGATGAAAACCTCAGGTTTGCAGGGAGTTGATCTTAACAGTTTCTCCTTCTGTATTTCAAATCAGGTAATTCTCCTTTGTAATCTTCAACTCACAAGCCAAATAAGCTATGATGGGACTGGCCTGCTCACCACTGTTTTGACAGCTTCTCTTATAGAAAAATAAAACAGAAGTAACAGAAGATCCATGGGAGATTAATAAACCAAACAGGGATACTGAAAAAACAAAGCAGGTCTCTCTACCCACACCCCACTCAAATATATCAAGGACTTAATATATGCTGATTGAATTCTTGCCTCTCTGACACCATGATTTTAACCACTTCATAGAAGGCTTCCAGAAATATGCAAAACAAATCATACTAAAAGAGATCAAGTAGAAGCTTGTGATTATATAAGTTAGCATACAATAAGGCTAAAGCAAACACAAACAAACCTGTCAAAGAGATTTCACCTCTCAACAAGTTTTCTAGACAAGTGCACTATCATAGAGGTTCCTCCAAAGGAAAAGTTTCCTCTTTATCACCTATGGGAAACCCTGTCCATGCACATGTAAGTGTGAAGGATGGTGTTGTTCCCCTCCTTGAACAAGAAGAGTTAAGATGAAAATCTGCAGCCTGGATCACAATGTATGCTAACACAAGAGAGGCTGGGAATCTCCACTGCTTTCAAATTTTTTCACAAAATTGATGAAAACTTTGAAAAGTTTAATGAGAACTTTAAGCAATATAATTAGATTATGTATGATTCATTGAAAGTACACGCAAACTTGAACTATATATAAAGATTGACTAGTCTTCAAAGACTTTTAAGTTCTAAGTTTTGCTACATTCTAGTCCCTTCTACAAGCCAGGATCCTAGACCATTGCACCAGTCTATTTTTTAAATCTCCTTCCTTCCTTCCTCCCTCCATCCCCCCTCCCTTCCTTCCTTCCCAACTTTTCTGAGCTTGCTTTTTTCCCCAACCTTTGGGAAAAAGTATAAAATGTGATTAGTGGTTATCTATGAAATATGCTCACTTATCATTTCTCTGTTGCACATTATAAACCCAATAACTCTCAATAATACATTACGCTTTTTTAAAACTATACTTAGCATTTGTGTTCTTATATCTGAGCACATACCTTTCCTTTTCAAATTTCAAGGCGCATTTATTCATAAAAGTTAATCAGTCAAAGTTAAATTTTTGATGTGATCAAAAGAGATCAATGTAAATTGTACCCAGATTGACTAATACATCCAAGGTCTGGGATGAAGAAGAAACATCTTTCCTGGATGTCAAGTGACACACAGGCTGTCAATGACAGGAATCCAAGATGGAGAGAAAAATCACAGTGTGTACATCACAGTCTAAGACAAATTAAAGCCAAGTTAAATTGACGATTTTATTGGATATAATTGTCGTCTTTATATATTAATGAAAAACAATAATACCTATCCCAAATTTAATATTAAGGCTAAAAATTTAATCTCAGAGTTCTTATACAATTTATAAATGTTCATAAACGTCAAAAGGCCCCTACTTCTTGATTGAATTACAATCTGCAATTTTGAGAATATGTATTAATCTACATAGGTTTATTCCTCTTCAGTTCAAATTGTTATTTTATTGATATGTGTGCCCTTTCCGCCTAAGTGATATTCACCTTATATGTCTGTAAGTTGTTTTCATCTGAAATGCAAAGAATTATCCGTGATAGTTTTGCATACGATGAAAAACATTTGCATTTAGCATGCTAGGCTCAAAGCATAAATATCTAGCAAAGAATATATAACTGTAAAGCCCAAATGAATCAGGACCTTAAAACATGGTGGGGGAGGCAAGGGTAGTGGGGAGGGGTGGTTTATGGTAAAGTCTAATTGTGTTCTGTGATTTCCCAGTAGAAATTATTGTATAGTATCAATCTCTAAGGAACCAAATGTATTATTAATTAAATGTATTATTAATAAAGATTAGTCAATTCTGATTTCAGTTTATGTAATGTTCAAGGGCAATGGTTTCCAACATCTTGAGGTGATACAGATCCCTATGAGAATCCCTCCCCCAAAAAACTTCTTAAAAACACCAAGTTTCAAGAATCTTCCAGACTCCATGAAGATCATCCATGAATTCCAGTTTAGCCACCCTTGGCCTAGGGGAGAGGGGAGAAAATGCCCATGCAATCCCCCTGCTTATCACCTCTAGGAAGCTGAACAAGTCACTATGACCTGGAGCCAGGAGCAAACAAATGTATAGGAAACAGAGCTCTACATGGGAGCATGTGGCTAGGGACATACAGACTCCTCTAAAGGCCTCCCAGAAGACTCTTGACTTACCCAGTTCTTTACAATTTCTTTTTTTAAAAAAGTCCACAGAGGCTTAGGAACAGTGAGGAAGAGGAGTAGTGAGCAGAGAAATGAGAGGAGTTGCTATTTACTCAGCACCTTCTGTGGCTGCAGGCATCCTGCTAAGTAAATGCTTCTCAAATTCGAATGTGGATATCTCCAGGGATGTGGAGCAATGTTAACAGGAGCGCACCAGGCTACAGAATACATAATAAAGACATGGCTGTCTTCTTGGAGGGTCAATTGTCCTTGTGGCTAAGCAGTTTAAACTCGTATTTGTACATACATTTATTTATCTGATAACTATTTCTTGGATGTTATAGAAGAAATAAAACAGCCACTGTTCTTGTCCTCATGGAACTTCTGGTTCAGTGAAACAAGTAAGAGCATATTGAGGAGTAGAATGCAAAATGTGCATGTATCTGTAGGATGAACCCTGAGACCTCACTGAAAAGTCTCATGTGTGGCAGACTGCTTCAGGCAATGGCCCGCACCCTGAGGACTGACTGGATCACTCACTCTAATCTGAGGATCACCTACACGGAAGAGTTTGAAAAGCAGCATTAGCAGTAGATCATTTCATCCTGACTAGAAGAGCAAATACCGTTAATTTCCAATTTACTATAGAATAAGGGAGATTTGAGAAATTAGGAAACTTACCCCAAATCCCACAGCTGCTGGGACCTGAATAAGTTTGTACCATTCCAAAGTCTACATATTTTTAACCACTAAATTACACTACATCTAGGTATTTCCCATTTTATGTTTCCCCTTGAAATGAGGGCTCATTCAGGATTTTGGAGGCTAGTTTAAGCTTCTCCTGTGGAAGGAGACAGGTTTGGCTTGATTTGTATTCTAAATATTTCACAGTGCTAAGGGAAAGCTATTATTATACCCATTTTATGGTGCGGAAGCTGAGCCACTTGCCAGCCGAGGTATCTGGCTGGGTTAAAAACGGAATCGGGTTGTCAGTCTTTCATTCCTCTTGACTGACGGAAGCCTAGGCAGCAGTACTGTCCAAGGGCTTTTGTGTACATGGGATTCATACTGGTGGAGAAAGAGTGAGAGAAACTTTGCAAAGGGAAAATAACAGTGCAATACAAAGATGGAAAATAAGTAATCATAACTCACTCACAAAAATTGGTTACTTTTAGCACTGTGAATAGAAAAGAGAGAGCTTATTCATCACAAATGAATCAGAAAATTAGAATGTGTCACAGCATTGATGACAGAGCTGAGGAATTCAGATGAACTGAAGTTCAACACTTATCCTTCTATCTGAAGAGGGCAAATGGTGTGACAACAGGGCAGAAATGACCTCTTACGTGCGCCTTTAATCTCCCCAATCTTTTCTCTTCAACCCTCTCTCTAGAAGTTAGGTGGGTTTCTATCTTTGTTTTCTATGGGTAGAGATAACATTTTAACATCCTTTTAATGTTCTAGAAGTATTGTGTTAATTAATTCTTATGTGGGAGTCATTCCAAATAGTAGGATGAAGATTTTTACCTTATTGATTTCCCTAATACCTTTCTGGCTTCCGTGTTTTCAAAGGCTGAGGCACTATTGGATTTTTAGATTCATATGTCTCTCAGAATAAGTGCCAGCTTCATAGGTTCCTGTCAATTGATATTCCATCTTCTCTATGGATACATGATTTCCTTCATCTGACAGATTCAAGAAATTTTATGCTAGATTTAATGACATTTCATGTGCCCTGAATTCGGAGGTTTTTAATTCTCTATTTTCTATCTGGCAAAAGGTTTACAAGTTAAAGTCAGATGGAAGGGTTATTCAATGTGCATACAGAGCATGTGCAATCTCCCACTAGCTAGATTTTGGGGTCTCTTGAAGTATTTTCATTCCTTTTGGTCAGTCT